ATGAAATAAGCAGTTTTATGAAGATGGTTGTATTTAATAAAAAGGGAAGAAACCCTCTTATACCTTGCCTCAGAGGAGCAAACCTTAACGCCAGTGTTTTGAAATGCAATTTGATAGCACCCCTTAAAAATTCCATGTGATGCTTTTCACCAAGATGGCGCTGAAAGTGAAGAAGGACGCTCCTGCCCCTCCCAAAGCCAAAGCCAAAGCCAAAGCAAAGGCATTGAAAGCTGAGAAGGAAGTATTGAAAGGCGTTCACAGCCACAAGAAGAAGATCAGCAAGTCACCCATCTTCTGGCAACCTCGAGGTTCTGGAGGCAGCCCAAAAAACCTCACAGGAGCACCCCCAGGAGAAACAAGCTTGACTACTATGCCATCATCAAGTTCCCCCTGACCACTGAGTCAGCCATGAAGAAAATAGAAGACAACACCACACTTGTGCTCATTGTGGATGTCAAGGCCAACAAGCACCAGATCAAACAGGCTATGAAGAAACTCTACACTGATGCGGTCAAAGTCAGTACCTTGATCAGACCTGATGGAGAGAAGAAGGCCTATATTCATCTGGCTCCTGATTACGATGCTTTGGATGTTGTCAACAAAATTGGGATCATCTAAGCAGTCCAGTAGTCTAATTCTAAATACAGATTTTTTTGCCACCATAAAAAAAATTCCATGTGATATAGTAAGAACTCTGTACTAAGTCTCTGCCCTCAGTCCCTGACACAGATCTAAAGGCCTTGGATTTCTCTGGGTGGTAGGAGTATCTGTGTGCTATTTGAGGTGATTCTTGATGGGTTCTAGGTAGCCTCAGGATGAGAGTTTGTCCTAGTTTGGTTTTCTGTGGCTGTGATAAAACACTGACCAAAAACAACTTGGGGAGAAAAGGGTTTATTTCATTTTATATCTCCCATCACTGTGGGAAGTCAGGACCAGACTTCCACCTGTCTGGTCCAAGGCAGGAACCTGGAGGCAGGAACTGAAGCAGAGACCATGGAGGAACGGTCTTACTGTTTTGCTCCCATGGCTTGCTCAGCTACCTTTCTTATACAGCCCAAGCCCACCTGTCTAATGATGGCACCCATAGTGGGCTGAGCCTTCCTACATCAAGGAGCATTTAAGGAAAATGCCTCACAGACAAGGCCAAGGCCTCCTGATGGAGGACAAGGAGTTGGAACTTTCAGCACGAGCCCCATCTGGAGAAGGAAAGAGGCTAGAGATGGAGTTAATTGATCATGCCTCTGAGAGAAAGCCTCCATGAAAACCTCAACTGCTTCCATTGAAAACCCTAAACTAGAGGCAGGGTAGGACACATCCTTAGCATGTGCAAGGCTATTCAATCCCCAACACTAGAATAAAAAAGAAAAATCCCTAAACAGCACACAATTCAGAAAACTTCCAGGTTGGAGAATGCATACATGTGCCAGGAGCATAGTGCATCTCTACTCCACAGGACAGAGGCCACTGGGCTCAGGACCACTCCCGACCTTGCTGTATGTCTGTCTGCACCTTCATCATCTCTAGCCTTCCTAATCCTCATTATAGTTAACCAGTAAGCGATGTAGTGTTTCCTCTGCATTTCTTGAGTTGTTGTTACCAGTTAACAAACCTGAAAAGGCTAAAGGAACCGCCAATTTGGAAGGTCAGAAGTACCAGAGACTTGAAATTGTCTCTGAAGTAGGAAGTAGTCTTGGAGAACCAAGTCCTTAGCCTGTGGGGTCTGCAGTAACTCCAGGTAGTGAGTGTTAAAAAATGGACACCCCAGAAGCTGGAGAGATGGCTCAGCAGTTAAGAGCACTGGTTGCTCTTGCAGAGGATCTGGTGGTTCCTAGCTCCCATATGGCAGCTAACAATCATCCGTAACTCCAGTTCCAGGGGATCTGATTGATGCCTTCTTCTGACTTCCTTGCACAACACGGGTGCACTTAAATACATGTAGGCAATACACTCATACATATAAAATAATAATAAAAATGGACATCCCAATTGTTGGTGTCAGATCATTGGTTTTGGTGTGGAGATCTCCATACATGTAGTGTCAGGCATGCTCTGAGTAGAAGAAGTGAGGCCTAGCAGGGGAAAGTTAGTTCACTGAGGACATGTCTTTGAGGGAGACATTAGAACACCAGCCCCTTTCTTTCTTTGCTTCCAGGCCATAGGAGCAAGCCTCATCTGCTTTGCCATGAGGTTCTGCCTCACTGTAGGTCCAAACTCAAGAGACTATGGATTCATCTGAAATCAAAGAGCCTATGTAAAACTGTCTTCTTTTAAAGCTAGTTATCTCAGGTATTTTGTCACAGCCACAGAAAACTGATTAGCACATATGAAGTCACATTTAAAAAGAGCTGTTTTTGAAGTCCTCAGTTAAAGCGAGTAAAGTGTTTGTAAAGCCAAACAGTTGGAGAACTGCTGGTTTAAATCACTGAAATAATAAGAGCATTTTCTAAGAACTCCTCAAAAGAATACAAACATCCTCCACAGAGAGATGAAGTCATCCTACCACATGGAGAAAATGATGAGAATGTGGTAGTAAGTGTCACCAGGTGAATTGACAATAATATTTGAAGTGGTGGCTGCCGACTCTCAAACTTATTGGCAAGCCTTATATAACAGCCAAGTTTCTCCAGAGAAAGAGAACTGATTATATGTGTATACACACATGTATATATATGTGTATACATGTATATACATACACACATATATAACACACACACGTATATTAGATTGACATAGAATCAGAGGCTGGGTAATCCCACAATGGCTGTCTGCAGGCTGGAAAGTCAGGGAAGTAAGTAGCTGCTCAGATTGGAAGCCTTAGAAAAAGGAGGATCAGTGGTATAGCCTAGTCCAAGGCCAAAGGTGCGGAAACTCCCTGATGAGCAGCTGGCACTAGTTTGTGCTCCAAGGCTGAAGTGTCTGATTTTCTCAGGCATAGCATCAGCAAAAACCATACCTGCTCAAGGAGGGTCAAGCACATACATGTGTGAGCTTACCCCTTTCTTTTGCTTTTCCATTCCTTTGAAGTCCCCAACCTACACAGTGCTGTCCTCATTCAGGGTAGTTTGGTGACCCACATGCCAATTGTCTGGAAACACCCTCCTAGACACCTCAGAAGTGTGCTGTGTAGATTTCCTAGGTATGGCTCAAGGCAGCTAAGTTGACAACCAATATTAGCCATCATAACCTAGCAAGGAAAGGATTGCTTTAGAGGGTCCTCTTGGGGTCGCACGTGATTGGTGATACCTGGGAACATGCTGCTGGTGCCTGTCTGATGGCTGGAGTGCCTGGCAGCTTGACTCTTCCCTGGAGCCGTGCTTGTGAGACCATTCTGATACACAATGTGGTTCTATGTGACTCAAAAAGCAACGACTTTAGGCAATAAAATATCCACTATTCTTAGGATGCAACTATTCATCCATTCTTTTAGTTTTTATGAGAAGCAAAGCTTCCAACTTCAAATATCTCTCCCAAATCCTTATTTAATAAAATTCTCAGCGAGAGACTGAGGCTAGAGGATGATGAGTTCAAGGCAGCCTGCAGGAAATCAGTAGCTGCTCAGACTGGAGGTCTTAGAACAAGGAGGATCAGTGGTGCACTTCGGTCCAAGGTCAAAGGTGCGGAAACTCCCTGATAAGCAGCTGGCGCTAATTTGTGCTCCAAGGCTGAAGCGTCTGATTTTCTCAGGCATAGCATCAGCAAAAACCGGTTATACCTGCTCAAGAAGGGTCAAGCATACATGTGAGCTTACCCCTTTCTTTAGCTTTTCCATTCCTTTCAGTCCCTAGAGAAACCTGATCTTCCCTCCTTCAGCATCCATTGATTGCCTGTCCCCACGAAATTTTCCCCATCAAAATTGGTATGTCAACTGGTTTTATCATGCGGATCTTGCTGGGCTACCATATTTTGAAGATTTCATGGGTGTAGCTTCCCTATCATGTCTAGAATACATTAACTAGCAGCAGGTCCCTTTGGTTCTTACAATCTTTCCACCCCTTCTGTGATGTCCTGTGAGTTTTAGGTGTAGAGGGTGCATTATGGATGTATTACTAGGGCTGGGCACCTCACAGTCACCTATTCTTTGCCTTTGACTCATTGTAAGAAGAGGCTTCTTTGATGAGTAGCGAGAGCAACACTTGTCTGTCAACATAGTATATGTATTTAAAATATAGTAAGAAATTACACTGGTCTCAGAAAGTGACAGCAGTAGGTTCTAGGGATATATATTTTTCTTTTTGAGACAAGATGTCATGTATCCCAAGCGGTTCTGGAACTTGCTACACAGCCGGGTATGAACCTTGTGCTTCTTCTGATCCTCCTACAACCCACCTTCCAAGTGCTGGTATAGTACTGGGATTACAGGCCTGCACCACCACACTGGTTTATATAAGTGTTGAGCCTCGAACCTGGGGCTTTCTAGGCAAGCACTCTACAGAACTACAACATCCCTAAAATGACTATTTTATGTTATGTGAATATCACAGTAATCAAAGGAGAAATAAAGCTACTGAGACAAACTGTTGACAATTTCAGTTCTCTTCACAGACCCCAAATCCTAGAATCATAACTCCCTGAGGCCGATTCGCAGGTCTAGACACAATTTTTATCCCAGCTTATTTTTACCCAGAACTCCTGAGATCTCATAAGCGCTCTAGGAAACAGACCAAGGAAATGCTCACGGGGGGGTTAGCTTACTTTAGACCGGGAAGGAGCGGCAGAAAGCTCTAAAATGACAAGCCGGCTCCACGAAGCGCTGCCAGGCCCCTAAGAAAGGAAGGACACTGTCCAAGTTCAAGTTTCAATCTCAGTGTTCTGTTGTAGACCCCACGGCGGTCCAGAACCTGCACTGCACGTCTCAGGAGGCAGGGATGCGGAGCAGGCGCAACTGCACTGGGGAGGAACCTGGCACCGCCCAGGGGGCCGGACAGAGGGGGTGGAGCCAGCGCAGTGGGCGGGCCCGGAGCCGGGGGTGTGGCCGGGGCGTGCTGGGATCCGGGCAGTGGGCGGGGCCGGCGCCAGCGCCGGGAGAGGCGCTCCGCCAGCGGCGTAAACTCTGCCGGGTGCCGCGGCGGAGCAGGTGAGCGGAGGGCGGGGGCTGGGTGTGTGCGGCCCGGTACCTGTCACCAGTTGCCGGTCGCCCGCAGCACGGAGAGCCCGGATGCAGCGGGGCCTTGCCCTGCGCACCCCCTGACCGCTGTGGTCCCGGCTGCTCAGGCTCCGGGCTCCCGGCTCGGGCTGCGGCCCCTGCGGCGCCATGCTCGCGGCCTCTGCGACGGGCCCCGGGGCGAGGAGAGGGCGCCGGGGAGGAGGCGGTGCGCCCTCCCCGGAGCTGGGGCTCGGAAGGAGCGTAGGGAGCGGCTCCCGGCCTCTGGCCTCGTCCCCTCGCGCTCAGTCCTCTCCTGCTTCCGGATCCCCAGGCTGGTGGGCGCGGAGGGAGCTGTTAAAGGGACAGGAGCTTAAAGGGGCAGTCCACGTGGGTCCCGGAGCCCGGTGCACCTGGCATTGGATCCCTGCCCCCATCTTCCCTGGCCTCTAGTCCACCCGGGCACTGATACAGATAAGGGGAGAGTGGGGCGCGGCGGGGCTTGAGGCTGGCCTTCGTTACCAGCAGTATTTGTGTGTTTTGTAAAGCACTTACATCAGGGGGAGACGCCCAGAATCTAGCCTTTGAAGCAGAAGGACCTCGCAAACAGTAGCTAGTTTCCACTCTGTACCTAAGGCTGAGGATGTAGCTCAGTGGTAGAGTGCTTACCTAGCATGCCGGGAGGCCCAGGGACGGGAGGTGGGGAGGGACCACCACACACAACTTAAAGTGCTATTGCCCAAGATGTCCCTGGTAAGATACAGCAGAGCCTGGCCTAGAGCCTGGTACCTGGGTCGCTACGTCTGCTGTCCAGACCTTAGTATTTGGATAGATTAAGTGTTGCAACATCTCTGTTTAAGCATTACATTTTAAAGGTATGTTGAAGTAACCGCATCTGTTTACAGATGGAGGACCCCAGAGCATTCCAAACAGAACAGATGCAGACCAGTTTAACTCAAAATTGACAGCCTGAAAGCCAGGGCTGTCCCCAGAGTGTTGTGGTGGGAACAGACAGACTGTCCAGCATCAGAATGAATGCTCCTGATGTCTATATGGCCCTTCTGTGGACACTTGAGCCTCCCAGGCCTTCAGCCAAGACTTGTGACAGTAATTAAAGGCTCTGGATAAGCTGCTTCAGGTGTGTGTGCCTCAGGTTCCCCTCTGGGTGCAGATGGTTGTGTGTGAGCCTGAGAAACTCTCAGCTTCTGTGTTTTCAGTAGGTGAAGGGGTGGAGAGTCCTGACTTAGCCCAGAGGTAATCATCCAGGTTGACTCCTTAACTCTTAGAATAGTGGATAGACTGGCAGAGATAGGGTACTATATCTTGCTTTGTTGAAGTACCTACACCCCGAATGTAGGATGTACACCTGTATACATGAAAATGAATGTTCCTGCTATCTGAGGAGAGGAAGACCAGGATGAGGGTCCTAGCCAGAGGCTGCTGCATACTGTCTGATGGCCTGGGACGGAGGGTTGTGGCTGTACCCTTTCCCTCAGCCCCTCTGACTGCTCACAACCCTACCATACCAACCTTGGCCCTCTCTTAAGTTGTTAGTGTTAATAACCATGTGACATGCCATGCCTTAGGAGTTGGGTATACATGATAAAAAGCCATTTTGTGCTGTGGTTATCACATATCTTAAGAACTTAACGTAGTGGCTCGTGTTTGTAATTCCAGCATTTAAACACTGAAGCAGGAGGATTCCTATGGTTCAAGGCTGGCCTGAGCTATATAGAGAGTGTCAGGCCAACTTGAGCTACATAGTAACACTGTCTCAAAAACAAAAAACTAACCAACTAAGTAAACATATAGAATTAAAATAACACTGAAGCAGGTGATATTACCACCCTTGTAAAGAAGGGGAAGCCAAGTTCTGAGGAGTTAAGCAGCTTGCCCAGTTGTGTGGCTCCACTGCCTGTGAGCACCAGGATTTGAACATCACTGTGTCTTTTGAGTTTTACACCGGCAGCTTTCCACCTTCACCTCCTACCCATATCTGTACTGCTGCCCAGGATGTTTCTGTGGGGTCTCCATTAACAACCTCCTGGGAAACCAGGAGAAAAAAAGAAAAACCTTTTGTTTTGTGAAACAGGATCTTGCTATGTAGCTCTGCTTGGTTTGGTACTCTTATGTGTGGCTTAGGCTGGCCTTAAATAATGGCAGTCTTTATGCTTCAGCTCCCCTGTGCTAATCTTTTTAAGAAACTAAAATTGGTGAGGTGAGATAGTTCATGCCTGTGATTCTAACACTTGGAGGTGGAGGCAGGAAGATGAGGAGCTGAAGATCATCTTAACTATAATACTGAATTGGAGGCCAGCCTGGGCTACACGAGATCCCATCTTAAAAAACCGAAACAAGAAAAAAACCAAAGCTGTTTGTGTAGATCACATGAATATTGCTAACAAAAACATCTGTGCTATTTTTCAGCTGTTGCCTTGAGATTAAGCCACTGTTTAGTTGGGAACCCATAAGACACATTTCAGCCTGTGTTCCCACCTGTTCCACGGCCTCAGCCCCCTGGGGCTTCTGCCTCCCTCATTGGCTCCCAAGCTTGGGTATGACATCATTGTTCCCCGAATGCCTAGAGAAAAGAATGATTTCGGGTCCTCAGGAAACATTAGACATCAGCAAGGGAGACAGCAAGGGAGTAGCCTCTTCATTGGGAGAACAGGTTGCTTGCTCATCTTTGCTAACTCTAGAGCAAATGAAAATTTAAAGGGTTCTCACCTTTGTTATGCCTTAGCCAGAAACTTCTCTATTTGTTTTTGGGTTTTTTTGTTTTTGTTTTTTGTTTGTTTTTGAAACAGGGCCTCCCTGTAGCTCCAACTGGCCTAGAACTTGGCATGTAGACCAGGCTGGCCTTGAACTCACAGAGATCCATCTGCCTCTGCCTCCTGAGTCTTGGGATTAAAAGCATGCACCACCATGCCTGGCTTGATTTTTAAAAGATTAATACATATTCAGTTTTTAAAGTTCAGCTATTTTAAGTCATTTATTGCAGCTGTCAGCTCGGGGATTACCACTCTGGGTACCTGCATATATTTACCTACTAAGTTGGTAGAAGTAGGAAATATAAAGCTTGTATCCTTTTTGGGGGTTTTCCTATTACTGTTATACTTCAGAATTTTCCTTTCAATGACTGTGCAAATGCTATGGGTTGGATCTTAAGTGTCCCCAGGGCCTGTGTGTTAAAGGTCTGTTCACCTGAGTGACACTATTAAGAGGAGGTGGTACCTTTAAGAGGTGGAGTCTAATAGGAGGTCTCACTTTCTGGACCTGAGGTAAGTGGTTTTACCTTACACACATTCCTGCTATACTAGGGCCAAAACAATGGGCCCAGCTGACATGAAGTAAACCTTTTCTTTTTCGAAGTTGTGTCCCAGATGTTTGTTTCAGTAAGAGAAAGCTGTCTGATACATCTTGGAAAATCAGATTTGTGGGTGTGGCAATCCATTGAAAATGTCTTTCTCTTACCAGTTCCATGACATTACACTTTCCCACTTGTCTTTTGAATTGACCCAGAAAAACAGTAGCCTGTTTCTTTTCCTCATTGCCACAGGTAGGCATATCCACCTCTGTGCCTTGAAGACCTGCAGTGGGGTAGAGCAGAGCCCTGGGGACTTTTGTTACCCCCCCCCCCCAGCTTCAGTTTCCTGAGCTATGAAATAGAGCACAAATGGATGTCCTTTAAGGTCCTCACCCGCTTTTATACCATTTTTATGGATATGCCCTTTTGACAAAATGTTCCCATTGCCAGGCCCAAGGCTGGATAGAAACAGGATCTCTACCTCGGGCCTGGCTTTTGTATTCTCTCAGGTGTCTGGTGGCTTAGCAGTTCTCTAGCTTCCAAAGAAGGGCACCCGTCAGTTTCTGTGATGCCTTCTCAGAGATTGTCCCCTCCTGTCTTATCTTCATAACTTCCACTTATTAAAAACCCATTTTGAACTGGGTGTCCATGGTAGCCCATGCCTTTGATCCCAGCACTTGAGATGCAGAGGCAGGCACATCTCTGAATTCCAGGTGGACATAGTAAGTCTCTATCTCAAAAACAAAAGCAAAACATTCAAAACCCAGTGACTAGACGTTTTTCATGTGTTTCCCTAATCTTGCAAGGCAGTCTATTCTGCCATTCACAGAGGAGGAAATGACCTCTATCACCTTGCATGGTCTGAGGCTGTCTCACTAGGGAGTATGTGGTTCATGTCACACAAATTGCTGTGTCTCATTAAAAGAAAAAAATATCATAGATGCTACTTGAGGATGTGCCCAGAGCTCTTCTGCCTCTTTCTCCTAAACTACCCTTCTCCTAGGCCACCTTAAGAGATGAAAGAAATTATCCCAACCTAGGCACTTCTTAGAGAAAATTAGCTGATAGGAGGTTAGTCCAGAGCCTCAGGCTAAAGATCAGGAGGTGCCAAGTGAGAGTCTTGGGTCTGTGGTCTTGGGCTCTGCCTGAGGTCTCTTCCCAGAGTAGGGGAGAACTATTCAGCAAAATGGGATCATGAGGGACTTTCCAGGAATTATGGGAGTGCTGGGAAGTAGCCATGTAATCACAGAAGATGACCTTTTGAAAGCCAAGTGCATTGTTCATTGACCCTTTGGAGAGGTGTCAGGGCTTCAAGCCTCTCTCTGCAGTCCCACGTGTTTATGGCAAGAACAGTAGTTCCCAGTTCACTTTTGGACCATTATTTTCCATGAGGCACTGGGTGCTTTTAAAAATCTTCCCTACCAGGCTACTGACTTTAAACATTAAGACAAACCCTTGCTTCTCTACAGTGAAAAGGTTGAGGAAATTGGGTCACTGGGTTTCCATGATAATTGCACAACTTCTGGCATCAGCAGGTTAGGGAACTTTCTCCAGGTCAGACTTCCTGGGTTCAGCTAATCAACATTTTGGTTCCCGTTGGTTGGCGGTTTAATGAAAGTGGGCAGTGGCTGCCTAATTCCTCAGCCGCAGCACAGTGCAGGGAAGGCTTCCAGAACAGACTCTGTGCCCTGCTTCGCTGTCAGCTCCTCTGCATTTTTCCTGTGGCTGCTTGGGATGGGAAGCTGGTTTGGTTGTGTTTGACGTCAGCACTAGAGAGGCACCATGCCCCACCCGAACCTGAGATGAGTCAGGCTCCCCCGGGGACCTTTTGTATCACTCTGATGTGGATGCACAGCCAGCAGGGTTGTTTATCTGCTCTTATAGGGTGGTGGTTTTTCTCTCCAAGGATTTCCATGCTGTTAGGCTTCAAAACAGCCTAAGAACCAGCCCTTAGGAGTCCTAAAAGAAGCCTTTTTTGGGAGAAATGTCTTCAGAGAAAATGTCAGTGGCTTCCTGGATTCTCATGTGTTTCTCCAGGCTAAGCAGGTGATTCAGGAGGGGGCAAGAAGGAGAGAAAAGCCCACGTTTTCCCTTTGAGAAATCCGTAGCCAGAAAAAGTACAGATGCAATCCATATTTATTATACAAAGAATTGAGAGGGGCTGGGGATGTAATTCTGCTGGTAATGTGCTTGCCTAGCATGCAGGAAGTCCTGGGTTCTTCTCTCCCCAGCATGATATAAAGTGGGCATGATGGTGCATTCCTGTAATCCAACACTAACCTAGATGTAGAGGAATAGGGTCAGTAGTTCAAGGTCATCCTCAGCCATGTAAGTTAAAAGTCAGCCTGTGATACAGAGACCCTATCTCCAAAGAAAAACTTTTTTTGAGAAATACATCAAAATACAAAGTAAAAATTACCCACAGTCCCACCAGTCTAAAGATAATCTCTTTAGATAAGACTTTTATGTTTTTCTTGTACATTTTAAAAGAAAATTCAGATGATTATGCAAAAATTTATATTCTGTTAAATTTAACTTCATTTTAAATGTTAATAAATATTGTTTGAAGAATTCAGTGGTCCAGTGCTAGAGAGATGGCTCAATGAAAAGCTCTGGCTGCTCTTGCAGAGGACCTGGGTTTGATTCTCAGCACCCACATGGTGGCTAACAACCGTCCTTAATTCCAGTTCTAGGGGAATCCAATGCCTTCTGACTTCCGTGGGCACTGCACAGCATGGGTACACTTAGACACATTCAGGCAATACACTCATACACACAAATAAAAATAATAGAAAATTTTAAAGTTTTGAAAGAGTTCAGTGGTCTTCTAATAGTCCATGTCAGATGGACATGCAATAGGGCGGATCTGTCCTCAGCAGGATGGATAGATGCCTAGCGTGGATATACCAACTCCTTTGAAAAATGTGGGTTTTTTTCCTGAATATACACACCTGTATGAAATTTTAATTTATAAATTGGGCACAAAATTAATAACAAAATCAGCAGTTAGAACAGTATACTGGAGTGAAGGTTATCTAAAACAGGAATTGCTGTCTCTAGAGTTTTCCATTTAGTATATTTGAGCTACAGTTGACCACTGGTAACTGTAACCACAGAAATTAAAAGCAACAGATCAGGGGGCGGAGGACTGTATCAGAGAAGAGTCAGAAATTTCAGTCATTTTTACTTTGATGATTTCAGATAACTACAATACATATTTTTGTATGAATCTTTTATTGTTTCCTTAGATCAAATTCTAAGAAGTAGCATTTCAGGATCAAAAGGTAGGAGTATTTTCATAGCTTTTGAATTTCCCTGTTTGGGGTAAGGTTGGTCTAGTCTGTCCCAGTGGCATGTGACACCCATTTCTTCTGGCCTGTCCTCCTCAGTGGGCATTTGGGGCAATTTGAGAAACTTTCAGGCTTCTTCCTCCCCGGCTGCTGCCTGAGTAGGTCCTGTGTTCAAGAGAAAGGGCTGTACACTTTAACTCCTGCATGCCTACCATCAAGTAGTACCAACTTGAGGATGGGAAGGTAGTGGGCGAGAGGCTCCTTGCTTTTTGGAGCAAGGCCCATCCTGGGCAGGTCAGGAGTTGGTGGAGTCACCCAGGCACCCTCTTAAAATGCAGACCCCAGATACTGGGTTAGGGTGGAGCTCAGGGAGCTACATTTTTAAAACACAGTTGGCATGGTTAGTATTGTCAACTTGACTAGAATCACCTGGGAAATAGGCTGCTGGGCATGCCTCTGGGGGATTACCTTGATTGGGTTGAGATGGGAAGACACCCACTGTGGGTGACATCATTTCCTGACTGTAAGTGGAGAAAGTTCATTTCTCTCTGCTTCTTGATTGTGCATGAGACCAGCTGCTTCAAGCTTCTGCTCCCTTGACTTTACTGCCAAGATGAACTGTAAGCTGAACTGTAAGCCAAGATAAACTTTCTCCCTTCAGTTGCTTTTGTCAGAGCATTTTATCACAACAACGGGATAGGGAAGCTGAGATAGCCACCTAGTGTAGTGTTGAGAAGGCCAGAAACAAAATGCTTATCTCTAAGGATAACCTTGAGATTCATCACTTTACTTTTTGTGGGACTGGGGATAGAGCCCAGGGCCTCAACCATGCCAGGCAAGCGTGCCGCCACTGAGCCACACTACAGATCTAGGCGTCTGTTGATAAGAGAATCCACGGTTGCTGGAGGGGATGGTGAGGGGAACTCCTGGGTCTAGTGGGTGTTTATTTAGGATTTGACTAGAAGGCCAGGCCTCAAACAAGACAGGAGGACCGTAAAGTCTTCTGGATCCCCACCTGGCTAAGAATTTCCCTGGGTCTCATGGTGAGTTGGGCGTGTGAAGCTGTCTTCTGTTAGACTACTGCTTCCAAAGTCTGGCCTCCAGGGAGCAGAGCTAACTCCCCCCTCCGGAACCCTGGGCTTAGCTGAGTCTCCAGAATTCCAAGTGATAGGGCAGCAGACCCTAGCCACCTAGGGCATGCTCTGCTCCATGTACCCTGAATAAAGGCATTTCAGTTCCTGTCGTCCTAGGCAATAACAGGGCCTGTCTGTGCTGAATTAAGCTCCTACTCCTCAGTCAGACACCCAGACCCTCCCTGGGATAGTCTACCCTACCAGGTTCCCTTCAGTCATTTGACTTGCATATCTAGGAAGTTTGTTATGGTGTTATGGGTAGGACCTTTGCTTGGTCTTCAAACCCCCCTCTACCATCCCCCTCAGCCCTCTGCTGCCTTTGCCTCAAAGGAAAGTGGACCAAAGTTCCTGTGCCCCTCTTCCAGGTGCCTTTGGAGGCAGGGCCATGCTCACATTCATGGCTTCTGACAGCGAGGAAGAGGTGTGTGATGAGCGAACATCCCTGATGTCGGCTGAGAGCCCCATATCACGCTCCTGCCAGGAGGGCAGGCCGGGCCTGGAGGATGGAGAGAACACTGCGCAGTGGGTAGGTCCCACCAGCAATAGTTGGCTTCAAAGCAGGGCCATGGGGCCTCTCTGTCTTATGGATTGCTTAAGTTGGATCTCAGATGTCTCCCATTGATCTGTGTGCTAAAAGCTTAGTCCCTGGCATGGTGTGATTGGGTGGTGGTAGAACCTGCAGAGCTTGTGAGGGGGGGCACCTAAAGGGAATTGTGGAGCTTATGCTCCTTCCTCCTCTCTTTCCATGTCCTGACCATGAGGTGAGTGACCTACTCCATACATATCTCTGCCATGATATGCTGCCTGCCACAGGCTTAAAGCAACAGGGCTTAATCAGTCATGGGTTGAGATTTCCAAAACTGTGAGCCAAAGTAAACCTTCTCATTAGATAAGTTGAATTATCTCAGGCGTTTGTTATCTGGACAGAAAGTTGACTAACCCATGGATGAAACCAGACATTCTTCCACTCAGGAAGATGCATAAGCATGAGAATTGACCAAAGATGTGACTGTTCACCTTGAGTCTTCTGTCTGCAAGGGCTTTCCAGTAGACTGCGCATTTACAGACTACATTGAGCTGGCTGATATCTCTACCTGCCACACATACAAATTCCTGACTCACTTTCAAATGCAGGCTACTGTTTCAGGAACTGTGAGTTTGGGTGCCTGGGACCAATCAATTACACAGAAACAGATGGCAGGAGGCAAAGCAGCTGGAAGGGAAGGATTGAGGTAGGTATCCAGATGGGGTCACCATGAACTGAGTCTGCCTGAGTCAGGCAGAGTAGGCTCCTTCCCAGTCGGGCAAACCACATCTGAAGTCGCCTGAATCCCTTTCTGTTTTGTTCATTATGGTAATTAAAGCCCTTTCCATGTGCCAGTGGGCTTTTCTTCCTCCAGCTGACCTTAATCCCCTGTACTGAAATCTGAACTCCTTTCACCCTGTTCAGCAGCTCAGCAGCCTCTGAGCCTCAGTGTGTTTAACAGTTCAAGGTTACCGCCAGCCTGGTCTCCACAGTTTCTTATCTCCTGGGGTGTCTGTGCATTTTGGTGTTTCAGCTCCTGTCTATTAGTATTTTTCCTCCCTTGTCTCAGGTGAACAGCTAGGCTGGAGCTCTCTCTGAGGAGAACTGATACTGAAGCAACCATGTGTTTTAATTTTTGTTTCACATGCCTTTTCTGTGGCTGCTAACCTCATTCACAGAGCAGCTAATGAATTGCTGCACTTCCAAAACAAATTGTTCAGAGTCATGCCAGCATCTGACTGGCAAGTGTGCTGCCCTACTTTGCTTTCTGTTCGTTTATCTTCTCCCACTTCCCTGGAGCCCCTGTCTATGTGGATGCTGGATACCATTTAGCCCCTCAGAATTGAAAATGTATGTGCTTGATTTTGTAATTTCAAAGTAATTGTCAATGCCTAATTCCTAATCAAAGAGACTCCCTGTCTATGCTGGGTCTTCTAATTAGTCAATGAAAATGTTTGATCTGTTTTTCCTCTCCTACCCAGCCTGTCTCCTCCTAGAGCTCTGTAGCCATGTGAACATGTTGATTAGCATCCTGTGTCTTTGTCCTTGGGAAGGGTCTTTCTGGGCCCTGCAGGCCTCTCTCCCTCTAGCTCCAGACCTTCTCCTGAGACCTTCAGTACTCTCCTACCTGAACCTCAGTTCCCTCTTCTCATGCCTAGAAAGCAGCATTTAGTATTCTCAGTTCTGCTTCCCAAAACCCCTGCAGATATCAGCAGCTCAGCCCTTACCATATGGTTTCCACAGAGGAGCCAGGACAGTGAGGAAGACTGCGAGGAGGACCCTGACCACTACATCTGCAGTGGAGTTCCTGGACGACCACCAGGCCTGGAGGAGGAGCTGACCCTCAAGTATGGGGCAAAACATGTGATCATGCTGTTTGTGCCTGTCACACTGTGCATGATTGTGGTGGTGGCCACCATCAAGTCGGTGCGCTTCTACACGGAGAAGAATGGGCAGCTGTGAGTTGGGGGCCTGGTTGGCTTGTGGGTCTGGGGTAGTGATTGTTTTGAGGGGCTCATAGGCTCCCTCAGCCACTCTGCCCACAGCTCTGTGCTGGTGGCCCTGGAGAACTGTGACAAAGGCTCTCTGGGCTCATACCCTAACCCACTGCCTGTGTGACTTGCCTAGGCACACATCTAATCCATAACCTCCATTTCTTTGTCTGTTTTATGAGTTTAATAGTGGGGCTACCTGGAGAACTCAGTGGCGTAAATACCGTGAAAGGCTTCACGCAGTGCTCTTCAAAGGCTAAGATCTGACTACAGAAGGCCAACTCTGGTACTGTAGCACCAAACTCTATGTACTAAATGCCAGGTCTTGGCCCACTATGCATCAAGCACCATGTGACTAAGTCACTTCCTCTGAGTTTCTGTTCTCTTAATGAGATGAGGGGTTTGTATCATATGATTTCTTAGCACACTTCTAGCAGATGAGGAAGATTTAATAAGCCATAGATTATTTTAGTAAACAACTTGGAATACTGAGAGCTATCTTAACCCTGAACCTCCCCCTCTCCACTTCCCGGGCCCTTCACTGCTGAGCACCTCAAACATCTTTAACTCTTAGGGATTTACTGTTCAGTTTTGGATTTGTCTCCTTGACCGTTTGTGGTGGAATTTATTTTTAAGGAAGGAGTAGGTAGGGAGGCTCCCCCACCCCGGAAGCTTGTGACCTGCAGAGGACTCAGAGTCGCACAGGTGGAAGGCTTTGAGAGGACTGGGCCATTGTCACTCCTGGCAGTTCAAGCTGGGAAGGGTGAGGTGCCTGGGAATTACTTCCAGAGCTTATGAGCTGGTGTAGCACCTGTGGCTATCAGTGGGCATTGGGGGAACAGGAGGTCCTAGGCTGTGGGGTTGTGACTCATGGACTGTGTTAGTTAGGTTCTCTAGAGGAACAGAACCAGTGGAATGAATATATATCATGAAAAGGAGTTTATTAGAATGGCTTATACAATAGGCTAGGAGTCTAACAGTGGCTGTCTGTACACTGGAGAGGCTGAAAACCCAGAAGCTGCTAAGTCGATGAGACTGAATGCCTCAGCTGTCCCAATCTGGCACTAAATGCCTAGAAGGTTCCCCAGGAGCTGCTGGTCATTAGTCCATGTTGGAAGGCCAAAGAAGTTGGGTTCTGATGTCAGCAAAGGATGGCAACGGCAGCAGTAGCAACATCAACATAGATATACTCAACTGGCAAGGAGCAAAGGCAAGCAGGCAGGCAAAGCATCCTTGCATCCCTCGAAACCTCTTTATAGCTCAACCTCTTTATATCTGGGTTGCCTACTCTGGGTGAGTTTCGACTCCCTTCAGCTAATCCTTCCTGGTAGTGCCCTCACAGACCCACCCAGAGGTGTCGCTCTTAATTGATTCCTGATCCAATCATACTGACCATCAAAATTAATTATCACACAAAGAAGCAGGCAGCTGATCTTGTCAGTGGGGACCAGAACTGATGGTGGGAGCAAAAGGAAGGGTCTGGAGGGGGAGAGTCAACTAGGAAAGAGAGGCCTTGATGAGGTACAATCTGTTCTCTCTGCCACCATGGTTCCAGTTATCAGACAGCTACAGGCCACCGGTCAAGAGGCAGGGGGCATTCTTAGGGATAGTGGTGACTCTGTCAGGGTCCAGCCAATGCCAGGGTTGTATCAGGGCAGTGTGGGGTTTCCAGGGTCTCGGTGGTCAGCCTGAAGGTCTCTGGGATGGAAGTGTTCCAGGGCAGGCAGACACTGAGACTCTTCTGGTGACCTCCTCAGCATCTACACGCCCTTCACAGAGGACACGCCCACGGTGGGCCAGCGTCTCCTCAACTCCGTGCTGAACACCCTCATCATGATCAGCGTCATTGTGGTCATGACCATCTTCCTAGTGGTACTCTACAAGTACCGCTGCTACAAGGTGAGGCCCTTGGCCCCCTGCCTTGCCGTGCCCCTTCTGCCTGACCCCTGCTGCGAGGTGGCCAGAGCCTTGTGGTCACCTTCTAAAAACCTATCCAGGTTCCTTCTTTCTACAGAATAGATTGCCTCTTTATGCTCCTTCCCATCTGTGGGAGACCGCATGCTGTCTTTTAAGCGCCATGCCTTCCTCTTCCCCACAACTTTCTGAACTCCTAGTGTTTCAGACATACCTCTCCTGTTCTGAAGTTAATTTTGATTTTTCCTTCTGAAATTCCATTTTAGTCTCCTTCACCTTGAGGCTTCCTTTCTAGGTTTATTTTTATTTTTCCATCTCCCTTTAGACAGGGATGTGCTTTGTTGAGGTCTCCCTGTCCTGGGAAGCCTTTGTGCTGGATCCTCCTATGGTCCTTGAGCCTCCCCATGGAGTGGTGGAAAAGTTACATCTAGCTAGCTAGCTAGCATATGCGAGGCAAGTGTACCACTGAGCTGTATCTCCAGCTCTTATGAGTGTGTGTGCATGCACACACATGCATGCTTCTAAGGACTGAACACACAAGTCATTAGGCTTGGCAGCAAGCACCTTTACCCACTGAGCTATCTCACCACCCCACTGGTTTTTTGTTTGTTTGTTTCCGTATAGACAAGGTCTTGCTAAGTTGACCAGGCTAGCCTTCAACTTGCAGTTCTCCTGCCTCAGCTTCCCCACTAACTGGTATCACAGACTTGTGCCACCAGGCCTGATTGTACCTTAAGCTTTGAGACACTGGTTTCAGACTGCAGACTTTGAAACTTTAAAGAACAACAGGAAGTTGAGCTAGGCATTGCCTCTTCTAAGTTACTACAGGCATTGCATGGTGCTTTGCATTCAGAGAGCTGTGTTTATGTACAGAGAGAGAAGAGGGGGGCCATGCTGCAGGGAGGGAGCCACCCCTGTCTTAGCTGGGGTGATATGGAGTTGAGCCATGAGAGAGACTATCAGGAAATGTCCCTGAGCTGCAGCTTAACTTATCAGTAACAATTGCCTGTGTAAATGAGGCAGGGCTTCCATACTGAAGAGGAAAGACAGGGAAACATGGTGGAATTTGAGGGAAGACTGCTTGACAACGTGACAGCAAGCTAGAAATAGCATGGGGAGCGATCCTCCTGAGAGTGATCCTCCTGTGGTCAGTAGGTATCACGTGGTCAGTCCCATAGACGTGACTTGCCTATCCTTTCAGTGAAGGTCATTAGTAAGTTCTGAGATGACATGGTCCAGACAGGCAAGTGGTAGCTAGAATGAAGAGAGTAAGCAGGTTGCAAAGGCAGCCCTCCTCTCTCCTTGAGGCTGAGTGTGCAGCCCAACTTAGGCCCTCCCTACAGGTAGACTCTGCTGTGGATCCAGGGGCCTGAGCTAGGATGTAATAGTCTGAACTAGTGACTGAGGTCAGTTGGGAGGATGTGACAACATCTTACCCTTAACGGATAAGGGTCTAGTTTAAAGTTAGTCCTGTCCTTGTCTTTGACCCCTTCATACTCAGCTAGGAGAGGAGGGACAGATCTTCTGAGGACCTGCCTGAAGATCCTTGATGGGAAGGAACTACTTCCCTGTTCTATTCAAAGCTAGTCCCCCAGGAGGCCTGCCCTCTAAATAGGGATCAGTGAGTCTCTTGGCTCTTTGTCCTAAGAATCCTTCATCCCTACCTGCTGACTGTTATCTCTGTCTGTGACAGCTGAATCTCCTTACCCTGGAACACACTTATAGGCAGGGGCTTTGCTTGCTGAGAGACAGCCAGCATGTCCTTTGCAGGTGATGAGTGAACAGAGGTTTCACTAGCACAGGCTTGGGGCAAGCAGACTCAGGATTCTCTGCTTCTCCAGACACTTTTAGGTAGCTAGGGAGATTTTGAGGGGCCAGGTCCTCCCCAAATGAAGATGTCCCCTGTCACCTTCCCACATAGCCACAAAATAGTCTAAGAAGAATGTCTAGACTCTGGCCTGTGGCTTCAGACACTTCGAATATGTTACCAGGGTTAAGGTCAGAGCCCCAGCTGCTGGCAGCCTTAACAGTGCAGGCTTAACTGCCTGTCCCAATAAGCCAAATTAATAGTGAAAAGTAGAAAAAGGAGATTTAATCAAGTGGCCACATTGAAAAGAGGGACAAAGATACTGGTGACCCACTCCCAAATTTACATCCTCCCCTGCCCCATCCATCTTCTCAGTCCTAGTGTTAGGTAGGATTTAAATTGAAGGTAAGAGGTATACATAGCTAAAGCAGTCCTGGTCAAGGTGTGGTCCAGCCCCATGGACCCGTCATTGTGTGCTTCAGTCTCATCCTGCAAGGTGGTCTGACATGTGGTCATAACTGTGAAATCTCTTCCAGAAGACAAGTTCCTCCTCTGGCTAGCACCAGGCTTCTGTTTTCCATTTCACAGCATGGAATTCCTGGGGAAATGTAATTCTTTGGGGTCTATTGTTTCAGTAGTTTGACAACCAGTGGGAAGAACACAAGTGTCTGTTTAGAATATCCTCATCCCTATAAGGCAGGTTACAGTGGCCCTCTTGTTTCTGTTGTCCAGTTCATCCATGGCTGGCTGATTATGTCCTCCCTCATGTTGCTGTTCCTGTTCACCTACATCTACCTCGGGTAAGTGCTGGCTGGTGAGCAGCTACTCCCTGCAGCATAGGTGCATAAGGACCTGGGCAGGGGAGGGTGGCCACTGAGCTCCAGGAGCTGCTCTAGGAGCCCAGGCTTCTGGGCTTTGACACAGGAATGAGTTCTGTCGTTGGCCATAAGTCTTCTTCTGGCTCTTGATTTAAAACTAGCAAAGGAAACTGTCGAGCTGAAGGTTCTCTATGAACTCCCAACAGGTGGAGTTACATTCTACTTTTTTGGGCTAAAGTTACATTCTACTTTTTGGGCTAAGCCTGAGTACTTCTAGTTTATCTGCTCTCTAGCCCTTTGATTTGAGATATCAGCCTGACCTAGGGGCTCAAAGACACTGGAAAGACAGGAGACAGCATTCCTTCAGGGACGCAATCCACATGCACAGGGTCTTGTAGGCGAGTCATCACATGGTTATGTGACCTACATACCAGCGGTTGCTTTACTCCCCAACTCATTCCAGAAACTTCTGAGTAGTTAGTTGTAGGGCATGGAAATGGAGAATGAGAATATGATAAATAAAACTCAGGTTGGGATGTAATGGCTGAGGAGCTGACAGTATCAAATAATTTGGGGTATGTCATCTCCCATCTCTGTTGCCCCCCATTCCCTTCCATCTTGGGCCTGTAGGGAAGTGCTCAAGACCTACAACGTGGCTATGGACTACCCCACACTCTTCTTGGCTGTCTGGAACTTCGGCGCAGTGGGCATGGTGTGCATCCACTGGAAGGGGCCTCTGGTGCTGCAACAGGCCTACCTCATTGTGATCAGCGCGCTCATGGCCCTGGTGTTCATCAAGTACCTGCCAGAGTGGTCTGCCTGGGTCATCCTGGGTGCCATCTCTGTGTATGGTAGGTGGCATGGGCTGGGTGGGGTTAGAGGGGAATCTGCCTCACTGCTGAGGTAGATGCTTAGTTATGGTTTGCTGTGACCAAAATAGTTGACAGAAACAATGTAGGGGAAGAAATATTTATTTCTTTCCTTATTTATTTTCTTACATTTTGAGAAGGTATCATTTTAACATAGTAGGGAAGGCAGGGTGGAGTGGTATGACAGGAGCATGTGACAGAGCCTCTCACACCATTGTGGACCAGGAAGTAGAGAGGGTCCTGGAGCCACCTTCAAAAGCCAACCCTAGTGACCTGCACCCCTTAGCTAGGCTCCACCTCCTAGATGTTCCACAGCCTCTTAAAATAGCACCACCAGCTGGGAAGAAGTGTTTAAAACCTGAGCCTGAGAGGGACATTTCACATTCATAGCATAACAGGTGGTGATGGCTTGCCAGAAGCATGGCCTACAGCTGGTGCAGGATACGAACCTCCTATTCTTAGAAGGCCTTCACAGAGACTCCTTTGTAGTACCCCATAATGACTACTCCTACTGCCCACACCACCAATATGCTTATCAATCATAGATGTGTATGAGTGAGCTGCTGGTTTCTCAAGATGAGCCCAAGAGTATTGTGCGTGTTGCCTATAGCTAACCCATACTGTCAGCTGCTGTTTAACCAGCATTAGCACCGTTGCCAATGCCACAGCTCTAATTTTACAGATAAAGAATTTGAGGCTCAGAGAAGTAAGACTTTCAAGTACATCCTCTGTGTCTCAGGTACCCTTCTCTTCCTACTTTGTGGTTAGTTACCCACTGTAGTCCAGCCAGTGCACACTCTAGATTGCGGCCAGAAGCTCATGGGATTGGGACACTAGCCCAGGAGAAAAATGCACCCTGGAGTTCACTTAGGTTCCTGGTGATAGAGAGCTGTTTTCTCTCCACACTGAGTGGGAATAAAGGTCTTTAGCATGACAAGGTGTCTCTTCCCAGATCTTGTGGCTGTGCTGTGCCCTAAAGGACCCCTGAGGATGTTGGTGGAAACTGCCCAGGAAAGAAATGAACCCATATTTCCTGCTCTGATATACTCATGTAAGTCCTGTGCCTCTGCCAGACCATGGAGGTCAGCAGGTGGCCTTTCGTGGAGACATAAAGGTTCACTATGACTTTCAGAGTTGACTAAAGGTGGGGAGAAGCCATGTAATCCTTAGAGTTGCCACCTGCAGGAGGGTACACCTCCAGAGACAGTGGTGGGCTGGATCTTGCCCAGGAAGATTGGAAAGTCAGGGTTGGAAGGAGGTATCAGAGGAGGGTAGACAGCCCTGTGACCACATCTTGTCTGTCATCCAGCAGCCTGCACTGGGTACAGGCCACATCCCCATAGGCCAGCTGCCTGTGGAGACTTGCAGCCAGCCCTCAGCCCGCAGGCTCTTGAAGAGGTACTTGAAGGGGGATTTTTGAGGGTGAGAGCCCCTGTTTCTCTCTGGGCTTCATGGGCAGGAACTTGGCTGATGGAAGTTGGTCATCTTTGAAGAGAAGGCACATGGATTGTCCCCTGGCTTCAGGCTCACGTACAGGCATATGGATTTACAGATGCATTTAGCAAATGCCACTACTTTACATCAAATCTTTACTTGGTGGAAGATTCTGTGCTTGGCATAGAAGTCTAGCAAGAAGTAAGACCACATGGATTAGGGCTCCTGGAGCTTGCATCCTGTGCTGGCGATGGCCACCCTCCGTTGATACTGGGTCTATTTAAGTATAGGGCCTGTGATTCTGGGACTCTGGTGCCTCAACTACCCAGGAAACCATCTGCTGAGCTGGGTAATCTGCATGAATGAGAAATCAAGCTTGTAATCAGAATTACCAGCAGTGTGCCCTGTGGCTTGAAAGCACATTTTAGGGGTGTTCGGATTCTGAGCAGAGAATGAGGACGAGAGGCAGATGGTTTTGGTCGGTCTGGGTGCCCAAGGCTGGGCATTTCCTTGTGGGCAGAGGACGTTCCTTGTCAGTGTAGAATTTGTTTTGGGGTGGAGGCAAACTAAAGTAGACACATGTAAGTCAGGGGTAGTACCTAGAGGACGAGGGGCCAAGCTCTCAGGGTCACGGAAGGAGCTATTTGCAAAAGATGGTCAGGGAACTCTCTGTCAGAGGTCACATTTAACCAGAGACCCTTCGGTAGGGTATAGTTCTATGTAGAAATCTGGAGGGCCTGCCTTCTAGCAAGGAGGCCAGCAGCAGGTGCAAAGGCCCTGAGGTAGGCCTGGGCTGGGTGTGCTCAGGGAATACCCAGAGGCCAGTGTGGCTGGAACAAATGGGAGAGGAGAAACGTAGAGAGGCAAAGGGAGCCCTGTGACCACAGTGACACTGGGACCCTTATTCCTGAGGGAGAGGTTAAGCCATTGGAAGATTTGGGGCCAACCTGACTTGACCCTGCACCAGTCTCACACAACAGGATCACACAGCCAGCTAAGTGGAGAACAAAAAGGACAAGAGCAGAAACAAGAGCCAGTTGGAAGGCTGAGAAAGAATCCAGAAAGGGGAGGAGGGCTCTGCATGGGGACAGAGGTAGAGACTGTAAGGGGAAATGAACTCTGGGGCGCTCTGTAGGCACAGCTGCCTGGGGTTCTTGACCGGCAGGGCAGGTCATGAGACCGAGGCACACGTAATGACAGTGCTTTGGGTCTGGGCAACAAGAAAGACCCACTGCCTTTTGTAGAGAATGGAGCAGGCTGATGAGGCGGATGGGGGTGAGTGGGATGGGTGGGATGTTGGGTCTAGGCTTTGGGATGTATGGAGTATGGAAATCTCATTGGGAATTGAAGACACAGGGTAGTAAATTCAGGAGAGAGTCCAGGTTAGAGAAACAGTTCAGCCAGTGCCACAAGATCCAGAGTCTCCACTCTGCCCACATCCCCAAGAAGATTGAGAGCAGGGACTCAAGTATTTGCATATTGTGTCCATAGCAGCATTATGCCCAGTAGTTCAGAGGTAGAAGTGTCTAAGTGTCCATCAGTGGATGAATGGATGAAATGTGGTATGCCCATAAAGTGGAATATTATTTTGCCTTTGCAAAGGAGGAAAATTCTGACGTATGCTGCAGCATGGAGGAATCTTAAGAGCATTGAGCTAAGAGTGAGTCATACCAGTGACAACAGATACTATATGAATATGCTTATATAAGGTATCTAGTGCAGTCAGACTTGGAGAGATACAGTAAAATGAATGGATACTATAGAAGCTTAGAGATGTGTGTGCTGTGTGTGTGCAGGGGGGCAGGGGACTGTTGTTCAGTGAACACAGAGTTTCACAGGATGGAAAAAGCTAGGACCTGTTTCACAACTCCGAATACACAGAGCACCACTGAGCCACACACATTGCATTTAAAAAATATTTGTGTGTGTGTATGCGTGTCTCTGTGAGAGTATATGCCTGTGTGTGTATGTGACTGCATGTTTGTGTGCAATGCCAGAAACGGGCATTGGATCCCTCAGAGCTGGAGGGTTTCTGGCATTGGATCCCTCAGAGCTGGAGGTACAGGCATTTGTGGGACCACCAGCTTGTACATGGGTGGTAGGATCTGAACTCTGGTTCTCAGGCTTGGGCAGTGAGTGCTCTTAACCACTGTATTAGTTACTTTTCTGTTGCTGTGATAAAATGCTGACCAAAGCAACTTATAGAAGAAAGAGTTTATTTGAGCTTACGGTTCCAGAGGAACTGGAGGCCATCATGGTGGGGAGGCAAGGTGGCAAGAGGTGGCCAGAGTAGAAAGAGGAGCACCCATATCTTGAAGCAGGCACAGGAAGCAGAATCGGACTGGAAATCCAGTAAGGCTTAAGAACTCTAAGTCCACCCCAGTGATGTGCTTCCTCCAGCATGGCTACACCTTCTAAGACCTCCCAAAACAGGGCCACCAACTGTGGACAAAAGTGTCCAAATACATGGAGCCTGTGGGGACATTCCCATTCAAACCACTGTAGTCACTGAGCCATCTCTCCAGCCCCACAGTTGCATTTTTATGTTGTATATTTTTTTGCAACAACTTTTAAAAAGACATGGTTAACCAAGCTGATCATCATTATAATTGTCATAGTTATTTGGGAGGAGGGAAGAAAAGGACAGGGAATAGTACTGTCTGCCCCCCCCCCCCCCCCCCCGGCCATGGAGCCTGCACACCTGTCTCCATGACCTCTAACAACCAAGCATGAGCAAATGCCTGCAGGATGGAGGGGCCTGCTGCAGGCTTTCTGGGGACACAGACTGGCTCCCCTCCTCCCAGGTCAGGGGCACCTATGAGCACCACCTAAGGCATGATCCTTTGCTCCTTCCATAGCCGCCATGGTGTGGACGGTAGGCATGGCAAAGCTGGACCCCTCCTCTCAAGGAGCTCTGCAGCTGCCCTATGACCCAGAGATGGGTGAGTATAGGGTTTATGGCCTTGTTACTGGGGGATCTCCTCACCTTCACCCTGATCAGCCTGGCCTCTCTAGGGCAGAGTTTTGGATGGCTGAGAGACCTGTCACCTGAAAGCCAGCCTTCCTCATCACCTATATTTAGGGAGTAAGCACAGGTTGGACTGACCATCCTGTGCCCCAGCTTTTCACCTCACTTTGTCAGATGTGGCTGGTGGGTGGCAGTGGGCCAGGGTGGGCGGGGTAGGGTAATTGGGAAGGAACCTTCTGGACCTTTGTGCCAGAGGCCAAGGGGGCCTTCTGACCGGCCTTTGTCTCTCCATGCCCTCTTCATGGTGATGCGATGATGATGGTCCTCCCTTCCTGGACACTCAGAAGAAGACTCCTATGACAGTTTTGGGGAGCCTTCGTACCCTGAAGCCTTTGAGCCCCCCCTGCCTGGCTACCCAGGGGAGGAGCAGGAGGAAGAGGAGGAAAGTAAGGTGCCCATGTTCAGAGTGTTCAGATGGCCTGCTCACAGGGCAGGCGGGGGCTCCTTGAGGTCTGGGTGGAAAATGAAGGGAGGGGACCTTTCTAAATCAGAGGTGACTTGATGAGATAGCCCAGGGGAAATCTGTGGAGTCCTTTGGGATCTCTTCTAAGCCCTGGGCCTCTGACAGGTGCACTGAGTGCTTCTCAGACATAGATTGAGTCCCATCTGAGTGTAGGTGCCATGCTAGGTGAGACCTAGGCTAATGATACATGTTCCGACGACACAGACTGTAAAAGCCTGCGAGGACTATGAAGAAGACTGGGGTGCTAGGAGAGCAAGGGGTGGGGTTTCTGACCTAGTCAGAGGATGTCCCCCGGGGAGGTGACTTCACTAGAGGAGGGGAGCACAGGAGGGTGTTTCCCCTGAGCAGAGCCCTGGAGTAGAGGCCTTTGCTTGAGTTAGAGGAAGTAAAGTCTGGGGTCAGAGCAGAAGTTCAGGGGAGGCAAGCAGGGCTCCAGAGGGATTCTCATCTGTCTCTGCAATGGGAGCCCTTGTGTGTTTTGAGTGTGTGTGGCAGGGGCGGTGGTGACTGGCAGAGTGGTGTTGGGCCCAAGGAGGGGTCCTTCTGGAAGCATGCCCTTGAGGGTCCTCTGGGACTTATTCCCTAAGCTAGCCTCAGAGGCTGTGTATGGAGGAAAGGAGCTGGACTACATTCTGGAGCTCTGATCTGCCTCTCAGCAGTTAGTGGACTCCTCATCAATTAAGATTTCATCTGTTTAGGGAACAAGGTCTCCAGAAGCCTCCTGTCACCTTATTATCCATGTTCTTGATAGTAACATTAAATTTACTGGAAAACACCTGTAGTCAGATTCCACCCTAAGTTGCACAGCGTCTGCAGCCCCAGTAGTAAGCTTTTACTTGTTCCTTTCTTTACTAACCAAGTGGTCCCCCTGAGTCCCAGCCTTCCCCCCAGACTGCAAGTCACTCAGCCCTTGGTCTCCTCATCTTTTCTGAGGCAGCCCATTTTGCCCCAGTCTGCAGGACTGGGGGGACTTTGTTGAAAGATGCTTTCATCTAGCCCCAACCCTTTTGTTGCGTCCTGCAGCTGGTGTCCTGGTCCTTCCCTTCCCTTTCTTTGCTTGCTTCCTACTGCGATTTCCTATCTGTGGGGTTTGATGGAGGCCACTTTTTCTTCCCAATACAGGGGGTGTGAAGCTCGGCCTGGGAGACTTCATCTTCTACAGCGTCCTGGTGGGCAAGGCGGCAGCCACTGGCAGTGGGGATTGGAACACCACACTGGCCTGCTTTATTGCCATTCTCATTGTGAGTGGACTTGGGAGGTGGGGATACACCTCCTGGGGTCCTTGTGAGGCATTTCTAGCTGCTGTTTCTCCTCAGGAGCCAAGACAGTGAGGGAAGGTGCATGCAACCCAGAGTGTGGTCACCAAAACACTCCATTCTATGGTAGGGAATGAGAAGTTTTGATCTCACTGACGACATGTACCTTCTGTCAGGGCCTGGCTGAAAGCTTTGGGCCACTGTCCCTCAGTGCCTGGGGTTGTGGATTGCCTAAGATTTATGGGAAAGGAAATAGCTAAAGGCCTTGTCAGTGGGCATAGCCAGGGAGAAGTGTGAGAGGATGCCCCTCCCATTCTACAGCCTTGTGTTCTCCGTGCCACCAGGACCCCACAGGGTGCTGAATTCTGGGCTCTCTATCCCCAGTAGTGCAATCTGGAGGCCCTGGTGGCTGGTACACATCCTGCAATGTCATCTTAGAGAATACTTCTTTTTAGATGTAAAGAAGAGTCCCTGAGGACTCCCTGTCCTTCCCCTGGGTGGAAAACCCTGGGTTTTGGCAACAGGGTGCATAGTTAAGCCACTGTTAGAAGAGCTTGTTTCTGTCCACAAGTGTGTCAGGGATGGGATAACAGACCTCAAGTTCCTTCCCTGCCATACTGTTTGACCTGGGCCCTTTTGTCCAAGGGCAGAGCAGGTACTTGGTTCCTTGTCCCTACCCTGGACACACAGGGCAGAGGCAGGAAGGGCCCTCACCATGCTTGCTTCCAAGGGCATGGATTACATGGTATAAGCACTTTATTCCAGCTTGTCTGGGTCTCCTGTAAATGCCTATTCCCTGGCAAGAGCCTCCTGGCCCCACCCTCACCCCCCTGTGACTGCTGTCCCCAGATGGAGAAGCAAGCATGGCCTGGCCAGAGCTCTGAAGGCCAGCTCCCTCTCCACCCCCTTAACCAACAGACATATGCCCTCATGGAGGAACATGTATGAGAGAGAACTCTGCCCTTTGCACCTCAAGGGACTGAGGCATAACCAGAAAAGACAGTGGCATGTCCATCACTGCCCAGGCTAGTCCTCAAATGACTGACCCCAGTGAGTGTACCACCCCCTGCAGTACAGTCGCCACTTCCCACTCCTTCGTGTCCTGCAGGGTTTGTGTCTGACCCTCCTGCTGCTCGCCGTGTTCAAGAAGGCACTACCCGCCCTCCCCATCTCCATCACCTTCGGGCTCATCTTCTACTTCTCCACAGACAATCTGGTGCGTCCTTTCATGGATACCTTGGCCTCCCACCAGCTCTACATCTGACAGGAGACAAGCAGTGGCTCTGGGAGCTGTAGCAAGCTTCACTGGATGCAGGTGGATAGTTTTACACTTTAGTGCCATATATTTTTTAAACGTTTCTTTCCTTAAAAAAAAACAACAAAAAACAAAGAAGCATTGTATTTACTTCATGACAAGGATGCAGAAGCTGCTTTTTGGTGGTAGCTGTTTTGTTGTTGACTGTGGCCATCCTGCGGGAGCACCTGCAGGACGCTCAGCAAGGGTATCAGCAAGGATGAGGTCACATATATGGGGCAGGCCTGGAGAGGACACTGGTACTTTCCAGGTCTCTGATCCTCCAGGTTTGAGCAGAAGGGAGATATGTGTCAGTGGGGACCAGGAGGCATGCTCAGAAAGGGCACTAAGCACTGTCACCCTGACCAGAGGAGAAAAGCCAGTTCCCCATCATGACTGTCCCCAGTGCTTCATTCGTGATGTCACTGTTACTTTAGTACCTTTAGAAGCTAAGTCCTGTTCTTGTTACAGCAGTGACTGCTGGGAAGCGGCTTAATATTAATAACAATAAATAGATGCTCCTGTTGGAATGTTGGTGTCTGGTGTCTTTGTTAATGTTGCCCCCTCCTTGCATCCCAGGGCTCTTCTGAGGTACACTAAGTACCTGGGAGGGAGGAGTTTACCCTTTTATGAAGGAGAGAGGCTCAACTGCACTTAGTACTTTATAAAATTCTCTAGCAGGGGTATTAAGAGTTCGAGGGGACCTCTATCTGATGGCCCTGGAATAGAAACCTGCTGGAGCTAAGCAAATCTTTGGCCTTGGCTCATAAACACTGCAAAATGGTTGCCAAAATGCTAAGTGGTTCCTTTGATAAATGTCCTTCATAACCAGCAAACTAAGGGGAGCATTTGGGTTTAGAGTGGTCCCTGTTCCTGCCTGGTGAGGGGCAGGCCAGCTTTGCCTTTCCCTCTGCATCAGTTGGACTTAGAAATGTCCTCTGGGCAGGGCCAGGAACCTGAAGAAGCCAAAGAGCAGGTTGCTGCCATACAGAGGCTACTAAGAAAACACAGGTATGTGCTCGGAGTGCACACTGCAAGCTCTGCTACTTCTAGAAAAACAGGAGTGCCTGGACTGCTGGGTATTGTGGGAAGGATGACTTGTGTGTCTTGGTGTTTGACAAGAGCTTTTGTACCCCTGGGCTGCTGGTAGGGGCACAGAGGAGGCCATGGAGAGCCAAAGAGGGAGAGGACACATGCTGCTAGTGGAGGTGGCGGTCTCCACTGTCCCCACCATGCTGGCAGCTGGAGTCTGACTGGTAAGAATTAAGAGCAGTCTGGGAGAGGAGGGAGCAGCTAAGGGGGGATAGAATAGTCCCTGGTGGTGAACGCTCTCAGAGTCTGGGGGAACACAACTGAAAAGCCCATTGAATTTGGCAATTACAGAAATGGTTACCTTCCAAAGAGTAGTCCTGGGGTTGGGCTTCTAAGAAGTTTCTATAAATGTTTCAATCTTAGCTCATGGAGGTGTTTATGAAAGAGCCGGCTAGGGGATGCTAGGGATACAGACTACATTCAGAGGTGAAAATGTTAGTAGAGGCATGTCCCATCTCTCCCATGTAAACACACACCAAGGGAGTGAGACATGGAAGGACCCAGTGGTTCCCAGCTAAGATTGTTAAGACTGAGAAAACACATGAGTGAGGAAAGTGAAGTGGGGTAGCCACAGGAAAGAGGAAAGATCCTCAAGATTCTTCCTGGGGCCTTCATGGAGTGAAAGACTCCAGGACACAAGTGGAAAAGGAGCTTAATGAGGTAGAATTCAGTCGTGCAGAAGACAGCTGCTGGGCAGATCCCCACATCCTCTCCCCCAGCAGCAACCTGGGGTAGCCAGTCACCTAATATTTTTCCATATTTGCCTCAGAAATAAAACTGCAGAGTTCTAAAGTCCAGTTTTTATGACATGCTGTTGTGTGATACTGTTCCTGGGGAGACCCAAGGATAGGGAACCAACTTTAGAAAGTCAGGCTACTACCAAAGTCCAACTTGGTGAGCCAAGAGCTTTATTGGGTTACTTACAGGAGCAGAAATGACTCAAAGACAGCTGCATCACCAAAAGCCCACCCCAGCATGGGTGACAGCCCATGCTAACAGGAAACCTGGAACTCACTACACAACTTTCAGGCAGCTCAATAGATTGGAGAGTGTCTTTTCCTTTCCTGGCAGCTCAGTTGGTCCAAGTCTCTTCCAGGCAGCTTGGCTTGTTTGAGAGTGTCTCAGCCATCCTTACTGCTAATGTAGGCTTGGCAAGGGAGGGGGCCAGTGTATCTGATCAGTTTCAGGGACTTCCTGAGCTTAACCAGCTTCCCTGCTGGATAGAATGTTTCATTTCCACTTTAAACATCCTGTGTCTTAATGAGCTTTTTATCTTGGGAAAACTGCTATACAACACAAACTAGGGGCTGGAGAGATGGCTCAGGGGTTAAGAGCACTGACTGTTCTTGCAGAGGACCTGGGTTTGATTCCCAGCACCCACATGGTGGCTAAGAACTGTCCTTAACTCCAGGTCCAGGGGAATCTGATGCCCTCTTCTGACCTCGGCAGCATTGGACACCACGGGTGCACTCAAACATACATGCAGGTAATACACTCACACGTAAAATAAAAATAATAAATAAATTTAAAAAACCCACAAACCAATCCTATTGCCTGTATCCTGGTCCTAAAGTCAGTTTTTAAAAAAATTAATATTTGTTCTTTGGCAATTTCATACATATATGTGTATATATACATAGATATATGCATACATGTATATGTATACATATATATGTGTATGTAGTACTTTGATCATATTTCTCCCCCATTATCCTCTCTTATCACCCCCCCTCCCCACCAAATCCTTTCTTCCCATCAAGCCCCCAACTGTTACGGGAGTTCAGGACACCAGAAACAAGTACCAGAGGCAGAGGGGAGAATTTGAAGATTTTATTCTGGCCAGCATAGGGTTGGGAGTAATCTCTAAAGCTTGAGCCCCTATTCACCATTTCTTACAACACTTATAGGCTATTCAGCATCATTCCAGACCCATTCTGTCATTTTAGCCTATGTGACCTTGGGGCTATGTATGCCTCCTTATCCATGATGGAATATTGATGAGACTGGAGCCTATTTGTAACCCTGGGTTGATTTTATTTCATATAGTGCCATGTTTTAACTTTATGGAAAGTCATTCTGTAAGTCTTTTGTTTGTTTTTGCTGAGCTGGAGATGAACCCACAGTCTCATGCTAGGCAAGCACTGTACCACTGAGCCACACTCCCAGTCCCCAGCTGTATGTGAACTCTGGTTCTGCTCTTTTAACTTTAGTATAGACACTTCGTTGTTTGATAATCCACTGTCCTTCCTTGTCTAATGATGGGCATTTTTATTTAACATTCTACAATGAGCAGCCTATAACATTTGTTACTTCAGAAGTGGCCCAAGGCTCCCTGTTGCCTAGGTTTTCCCCGTTGCTCCCTTTACACCTGTGTCTGTGGATAATCCTCCTCCCATGCCCTGGCAGCCTTTGATAGTACCACGTTTTCCATCGTGACCGTCCGGGTGGGCATCATCTCCTTTAGGTTTTCATTTGCAGTGAGGTGAAGGGTTTTCATGTGTGTACTAGATGTGAAGGTTTCCTCATCTGTTAGCTGTGTGCTCATATCCTTTGTCCTGTTTTCATTTGAATTATTTGTGTCTTACTGATGTTCATGTCTCTTAAAATACACAGTTCTGGTGCTGGGTGTGGTGGTGCACGCCTTTAGTTCTGTCCCAGCACTCGGGAGGCAGAGGCAGCCTGATCTCTGTGAGTTCAATACCAGCTTGGTCTACATAGTGGTTCTAAGATAGCTGGGTCTACAGGGAGACCCCATCTCAAAAAAAAAAAAAAAAAAGAAAGAAAAGAAAAGAAAAAAAAACTACACAGTTCTGGAAAGGTGCTAGTCTTTGGCCACTTACAGTTGTGCATAGCACAGTGACATTTCAGGCAGTGACAAACTATGTCCTAGTGATGTCATAGCAATCACCATTTGTGTAAGTACATTCTGTGATGCTTGATGAACAAAATCCTATCAGCACCTTCTTGTATTTGTTTAAATTTTTTTGGTCTTCATTTATTTATTGGTGTGTGTATGTGTGTGGACATGCATGTGCCATGTTATGCATGTGGAGTTTGGAAGACAACTTGCAGGAATCTGTTCTCTTCTTCCGCATGTGGGTTCTGGAACTCAAACTCAGGTGGTCAGGCTTGGCAGCAAGTGCCTTTATCCACTGAGCTACCTTGCTAGCCACTATCAGCGCTTTCTTAGAAGTATGTCCGTCCATCTTGAAGCCCAAATATAGATGTGTTGCAAATGTCTTGTGGGCTGTGACTGGCCTCTCTGCTCTCCCTGAGGGGTCTTTTGCTGTGCCAAAGTAGTTTTTAAAATGTATGTTGCTTAATATATCTTTTGTCATTATGGTTTATGCTTTTGAATCCTATGAAATATTTCCACACCCTCAGATTTTCTAAACACACACACACACACACACACACACATATTTTTTTTGTTTTTTTTGAGACAGGGTCTCCTTGTAGCCCCAGCTATCCTGGAACTCACTATGTAGACCAGGCTGGCCTTGAACTCACAAAGATCTGCCTGCCTCTGCCTCCCAAGTTCTGGGATTAAAGGCATGTGCCACCATGCCCGGCCCATCACTTTTATTTTTTATGTTGATGATAGGATTTTTACTTCAGCTGAGATTTATTTTTTATTTTCTTTTTTGTCTTTTCAAGATAGGGTCTCCCTGTAGCCCCAGCTGGCCTGGAACTGGCTATGTAGACCAGGCTGGCCTCAAATTCACAAAGATCTGCCTGCCTCTCCCTCCTGAGTTCTGTGCACCACCATGCCTGGCACGGCTGAGATTTATTTTTATGACTGTATTTAGGAGGCAGCTAATTGGGGTTTTCTGAATCTGTAATGCATTGTTGAGTGTGTTTATTGAGTAGTCCTTCATTTTACAGCACTCTCATGACATATTCTGGGCTCTGTGCTCTACTCCATTGTGTGACTCTCCCAGGAAGAACTGTGGTGAGGACAGGTTGAGCACCTGTCCCCAGGATCCTAGAGGCAGAAAAGTTCAGTCTAGAATTGTACCTGATCTCTGAAAAGGGTACAATTGTAAAGGTGACTCTGCTGTAACAGTCCAGCCTGCCCTTGAAGCAATCCTTTTGGATAAGACTTGAAATCTTACTGAATTCGTTTCTGTTTTTATTTAAAAGTCCCCCTCTTCTTCCTTCATAGTTGTAAAGTGTGAAATGCCGAGATCAACTCACATGTCCACCAGATGAAAAGGTGACCTAGGGCAGAGCCCCATGCATCGAGAGTATGAGTCAGTGCCCCTGTCCTTTCCCTCCTCTGTGTCTCCACCCACCATGTGGTTAGGGAGGCTGGAGTGTATGGGCATTCTCACCCCTTCGGCTGTGACGCCATCCAGACCTGCCACCCTTGTATCCCACTTCTCCACATCTGTGCTTTCTCATTGTCTCTGTTCCCTATATAAGAAAAGGCTTCGGC